TTTTCTTTACTCGAATAGATCAAATTATTGGTGGGAACATGTCCCTTCAGTCCATGCCAAATCTACGCCCTTGGACTGAATGTCGTGTAAAGCAGTCTAAATGTCCTTAGGGACTAAGTAAAGCGCAATACAAATACAGGCCAATTACCATTTACAATTGCTTTCGTCCCTAGCAGGATGCCAAATTCCACATATTTTGTATGAAAGTGACCACAAGCACTTGCCATTTACTATTTAAACAGTACTGAAATTATGAAGAGTTCTTTGAAAGTGAGCATTATCCATTTCTGATTTGTGTCACATATTTTTGGTTTTCATTTTTTATGTTCAGAGAGTAAATAGTAAATGTTTGTGTGATCCATGCAAACTATGGGTGATTATGACCATCTGCTAGTGTAACATAGTTAGAGTTGAAGTTAAATCCCGCTAAATGGGACATTGGCGCCACCTACTGTTGAAAAAGTCACCCTGCAACATTCACAAAGGGCAAGGGATTCTGGGTAATCCTCAGAATCATGGAGGATTCCTGCGAGGTAAGCAATGCGCAAATGTCGTGGGGAGGAAAAATCATATCGCAGGCTGTTAAAGCAATACAGTCTGACCCGATTATTTTTGTTGTTTATACATCATTTGTTGCAGGTCGTTTCTCCAGTCTTTATGTTGAACTGAGTGCACGTTTATGTGAGATTTCTTTATTGGGAGGAGAGGAAACAAAATGGGAGCATAGTTAGCTAACTCTGTTGTTGCTTTCCCGTTTAGATTTTGTGCTGATTGCCCACGACATTAGAAAGAGAGCATTCTAACCATTGCCTTTTTGTTGTGAATTGAATGCAGGTATGTGACTGTGCCACACTGTTTAGAGAATTTACATTGTTTCATGTACAGCTTTAAAATATATTTCTATATTCCTTTCATTAGGGAAATTTAACATGCAATGTTAATGGTGTTGAAGTTTTTCTATTTTGGTTGTATAAATTTACCGCTATATGATCACACTGCGAGTGGAAATGTAATCCTGAGAATAATGGAGGATTCCTGCGAGATTTTGTGCTGATTGCCCACGACATTAAAAAGAGAGCATTCTAACCATTGCCTTTTTGTTGTGAATGCAGACGAGAGAAGACACTACACAGAGGTCACACTAGCAACAAAAGCATTGATATATTGAAGAAAAAGAAATAGTGGAGAAAACAGAACAATAAAAGTTCAATATACTAGATTAACTAACCCTAACCTTATTAACAATAGCATAAGACATCAAACTTTCTATAGAATAATTAAGAAATCAAATCAGGAACAATAAAACCCAACAGAAAGCCACAAAATAGCTATTTTCACTTATAATCCCAAGCTCTGTCAATTCTGGAACAATGACAAAACAATACAAATGAAAAATAAGAAAATGTTCAGATGAAGTGCAACATGTATGACAACAACTGACCCTTATGTTCGTTTATAGTCTTCTATCCATATCTAATGCACTTAAGGTAGTTTTTGAAAAAGTGAAGCTGCAGTTTGAATTCTGCATCATTTCTTCCAGGGCTTCTGAATTTGTTGTAGGTAGGATTACGGTTTCCGTTTGTTTTAGGTTGATGGTCAATTGTCACATCACCACATGAGGCAACCATCAAAGAGCCCAGGCCATCCATGAAGAACTCTAAAGTCAGAAAGAGAGATTTGCCATTTGACAAAAAAATCATACTGCAATTTTCAATGTAAACTGTTTTGAGATCTGGACTTACCTGAATGTGCTACTCGCTGGAGCTTCGGGTCAAATCTCACCCTCTGCATGGCATCTGTACGAGCCAGGAAGAAGTTGACCACTCCACTGGCCAAATGGCATTGTGGGTAACTAGGAAGGGAATGGAATTTCCCACCAGACTTCCTGTAGAGGCAGCCACCTTCGTTTTCATCTCCTTCCTCATACAGAATAGAAAAGTGAAACTTGTTCCCTTGCACTGACCCACCAACCTAATTAGAGAAAAACCAAACAACTCATTATAAAGTCAACCCTACACAGATGTAACAGATGTTCAAAACTGGTGACTGAGAAGAATAATCTTAAATTACTTTTGAAAACAAAAGACCATCTCAGTTTGTTACATACTCAGCTCGCTTCCTCTTTTCCCCTTCCTTTTTAACTCATTAAGTGTACAGTATCACCTGTAAAAATACCATCCCATCCCCTTCACCCTAATTCTTGAATCTTGAAAATAATTTTTCTCTGTGTCGGTTAGAATTGTTAGTTTTTGCCACCTGAATACAAAAACCTAGGTGAACAACAAAGGCTGCATATTCTAAAAGTACAACGTTAGGGTCATCAGCCTACTACTGTAGCTGTTACAGTTCTATTTAAACCAGTTAAAACAAACTGAACGATCCAACACAAGCTATTTTATCCTTACCATATCTAGTTCTGGGACTGCCTCCATCACCTCCACAAGTTTCTCTATCTTTGTCTTCTCAGAAAACAAAAAGTCGTCATCCACCCACAAGAAGTACTTAGTGGTAACCTGTGACACAGCCAGATTTCTGCCTGCAAACCAGCCCTGAGGGGAAAAAAAAAACCATCCCAAATTCATATATCGGAATGGTACCTGGTTTGATGGTTTGACTGAAATTGTACTTGATAAATCTTCCATAAATTGAATCGACAATTGCATATCTAATATTCTATAAATGTAATTTTAGTCCAAATGTAATTTTAGTCCAAAATATTGCTAAATACTCATAAATCATGAAATTCTAAATCATTCTAATTTGTGTTGTACAGTTATTTCATTTTTAACCTTAATTTATATTTTATTCCTTCCTAGTTAAATTTACCCTTTTTAATTTTTCATATTATCATATATTATTGAATTTGAAATTATTGCATGTCCATACCTGTGCTGGAGGCATGATGTAATGCTGGATGTTTTCTCCAGTAATGCTCTCTGGTTCTAAGCTGTCATCTGCAATAATCACTTTTATGTTACTATAGAATTTCCGGATGCTATCCAACAACACCCTCAGTTGTTTGTAGCGCAGGAAGGTCTTTGTGACAATGGTAACTTGAGAGCTGATATCTAACAAACAGAAGTATACAGAGAATATTGTTATAAATGATGGATTACTAGTAATGGCACCGAGTAGCATTAGATTTCTGAATCATTCAAACTAAATTAAATGTGCATTCCTTCTAATAACCAGCAGTGGGTGCATTCTCTGGTTTAAAAAAAATCTAATGTATTCAACAGTGTTGGGGAGTATATGTACCAGCGTTATGTATTTAAAATACAAAATATCAGTAACTGTATTCCATTACAGTTACCGTTTAAAAAGGCGATATTCAGAATACAGTTACTTTGTTGACAAAATAGTTGATAACCTTTGGTCAATCAAAAAACTCACAATGGTCAAAGAAATAACTTTAATCTGACAAAACTAATAATAAATAAAAATTCTATAAATATTAAACAATGAAAGTCAAACCCTGCTTTTAAACCTGTCATGATCCTTGGTCATTTTGACCCAGCGTTTTGTGTTTCCTTTGGATTTCACCATGTGTTTTGTGTTAATTCTGATTTTGTATTAGTTTAGGGTTGAACCTGGAGTTTATTGTTTTATCAGCCTTACCTGTGTCTGTCCTCTTTGCGCTGTTCGTGTCCCTGTGTTTGTGTTGTAAAACAGACTGTGTGTTTCCTGTTTTACTTTGAAGGCTTGTGTCTCGTCTGGTGAACTAGGTTCAGCTGTGTTCCCCTCCTGTGCCATTCCCTCATTACGTTCTGTGTATTTATAGTGTGTGTCTGCCTCTGTTCCTTGTTGCGTCGTCTGTGTTTCTCAGTAAATCCTCTGTGTGACTCCGTGTTAATTCAGTGTTTCTCCGCGTCTCTCTGCCCAGCCTTCTTCATCTGCCATCTCTGCATATCTCCCGGTGTCCTTATGTTTTCAGGTTTGTTTGTTAGTTTTTCCCAGTTTAGGTTTATGTTCAGTTCTGCCCTCACCTTTGTTATTTTCACTGTAAATCAAGCCCCACTCGCATCTCCACTGCCATCTGCATCTTGGATCCTCATTCATTCAACCACACAACCGCTGCCCCAGCCGTGACACAACCATGCTTCAAGTGAATTACTTAAAAAAATAAATGCATGAAACAGGTCTGGACAAAAATGATGGTACCCCTAGAAAAGAATGGAAATAATGTGACCAAAGGGGCATGTTAATCCAAGGTGTGTCCACTAATCAGCATCACAGGTGTCTATAATCTTGTAATCAGTCAGTAGGCATATATATAGGACTCCAGGTAATCACTGTGTTGTTTTGTGACATGGTGTGTACCAAACTCAACATGGACCAGAGGAAGCAAAAGAAAGATTTGTCTCAGGAGATTAGAAAGATGATCATAGACAAGCATGTTAAAGGTAAATGATATAAGACCATCTCTGAGCAGCTAGATGTTCCTGTGACTACAGGTGCACATGTTATTCAGAAATTTAAGATCCATGGGACCGTAGCCAACCTCCCTGGACGTGGCCGCAGGAGAAAATTAATGACAGATCAAAGAGACGGATAATCCAAATGGCAACAAAAAAAGCCCAGAAAGACTTCTAAAGAGATCCAAGCTGAACTTCATGCGCAAGAAACATCAGTGCACCATTCGTCGCTTTTTGAGCCAAAGTGGGCTACATGGGAGACGACCAAGGAGGACACCATTGTTGAAAACAAATCATAAAAAAGCCAGACTGGAGTATGCCAAACTACATGTTGACATGCCACAAATCTTCTGGGAGAATGCCCTGTGGACAGATGAGACCAAAATTGAACTTTTTGCCAAGGCACATCAGCTCTATGTTCACAGATGGAAAAAAGAAGCATATCAAGAAAAGAACACTGTCCCAACTGTGAAACATGGGGGAGGCTCGATTATGTTCTGGGGCTGTTTTGCTGCATCTGGCACAGGGTGTCTTGAATCTGTGCAGGGTACAATGAAATCTCAAGACTATTAAGGGATTCTAGAGAGAAATGTGCTGGCCAGTGTCAGGAAGCTTGGTCTCAGTCGCAGGTCAACAGGACAATGACCCAAAACACAAAGCTAAAAACACCCAAGAATGGCTAAAAAAAAAAAAAGCACGCATTAAGAGCCTCTAATGCCTGGATCTCAATCTCGTGGCCACTGTCACCTCTACTTGTGGCCAGCATAATGACGTGAAGAAATATTTTTTAAAATTATTATTCAAAAAATGATTTAATATGAAGGATCTTCAGGGAGTAACCATTTTTAGTAAGTTGGATTTGAGAAACGCTTACAATCTGGTCCGCATTCGCGAAGGCGATGAGTGGAAAACTGCCTTTAACACCCACCTGGGGCATTTCAAGTATTTGGTTATGCCCATCGGCTTAACCAACGCCCTGGCAGTTTTTCAGGCATTAGTTAATAATGTGCTTCGGGATTTTATTAACCGCTTTGTTTTCGTCTACTTAGACGACATTCTGATCTTTTCAAAATCCCAGTCAGAACACAAAAACCACGTCAGGCAGGTTCTATAATGCCTCCTTGAGAATTGACTGTTTGTCAAGGGAGAAAAATGTGAATTCCATGTCTCCACAGTCGCCTTTCTAGGTTACATAATCGACCGAGGGAACCTCCATCTGGACCCAGCCAAGGTAAAAGCTTTTGTGGAGTGGCCAAACTCCTCCGAATCGACTCCAGTTGCAGTGGTTTCTTGGATTTGCAAACTTTTACAGGAGGTTTATTCGGGACTTCAGCTGAGTTGCCTTGCCTCTCACTCAGCTAACCTCTCCAAAAGTTCCTTTTAAGTGGACCGACGCAGCCCAGTCTGCTTTTTAAGAACTTAAGAACCTGTTCTCTTCAGCACCCGTCCTGGTCCAGCCTGACCTTACATTACCGTTCGTGGTCTAGGTCGACCCCTCTAATTCAGGCGTGGGGGCCGTGCTGTCACAGCAACAGACAGGTAAACTTCATCCATGTGCCGCCTTCTCCCATCAGCTATCCCCAGCGGAACGAAACTACGACGTTGGAGACCGAGAGCTGCTGGCAATAAAACTCGCTTTGGAGGAGTGGCGGCACTGGTTGGAGGGCACGGCTCAACCCTTCGTCGTTTTGACCAACCACAAAAACCTGGCCTACCTGCAATCTGCCAAAAGACTCGATGCCCGACAAGCAAGGTGGGCCCTGTTTTTCACTCGTTTTCATTTTACTACAGACCCGGATCCCGAAATATCAAAGCAGACGCCCTGTCCCGTCAATTCTCGGCCTCAGACGGAAGGACCGTTCCTGCCTCCATTCTTCCTGCTACCTGCACTGTGGGCGCCATTGCCTGTGGGCGCCATACATTATTATGTATCTAAGTGCCTTTTGTTTAGATGAACTGCTGGACTTCCAGACCAGCAGGTTTAGGGAAGTCATTTATGGGGTCACACTCTGACCACACACACACACACACACAGGCAAGGTACTCTTTGTTTGTATGTAGATGTCATATGTTAATGAACCTATGTATGTTCATGTAACCTCACTAAAAGAGCAGTGTTACGGGGGAGCGGACGAGAGCGACTGGGGTCAAGCGAAGGAACGGCGTTTGTCGGGTTCTCTCCCGTGCACGAGAAACATGAAGATCTTTGCCTACTCGTGTCTTGTTTTGCTGTGTAGCAAATTGTCCTTAACGTTCCAGCGAATAGGTTTACGCTACAAACCTATCACTCTGTGCCCTCCTTCCAGGCCCCCGCCTCCCGCCCAGCTTGTGGATGGCTTGCCCGCCTACTCGATCACCCGCATCATGGACTCACGTTGCCGGGGGCGTGGTGTTCAATACCTAGTGGATTGGGAGGGGTATGGCATGGAAGAGCGTTCTTGGGTCCCGCGAGCGGCCATTCTGGATAAGCGCATGCTGCTGGAGTTCCACCGTTCGCATCCGGGTAAGCGTGGTGGGTCGCCGGGAGGCTCCCGTTAAGGGGCAGGGGGGGCACTGTCTTGGTCCCCGTGCCTCACTGGCTGTCTCTGTGTTTGGCAACATGTTTTGTTTGTTTTTCCTTCGCGCTCTCTCTCCTCTGCCGGGGCAGTGCTCATTACGGGCTCCCACCCCTGGCCCACGCACCTGTGCTCACAGTCACACCTGCAGCCGATCCCAGCTGATTTGGAGCACTATTTATGATGAAGGACCTGTGTCATCCTTCGCTGGATCGTTGAGCCATCAGCGTCAGTCCCTCTGAACCTGAATCTGTATCTGAATCGGTATCTGTGAGTTTGAGACTATCCCTAACCTGGACTTGTTTCTCTGTGTGTATATAGGTCTGCCCTGGACCCGAGCGAGCGTGTGTTTGGAACCCACTGAGAGCGTGTATTGGATTAATCCCTGTTTCCCCCTGGAGCCCCGGACCCTTTCCCCCGCCGCATTGTATATATATCCTCACCTGGTGTCTCACTGTAAATAAACGCACTTTCTCTTTGCCAAGGATACCTGGTCTGCATGTGAGTCCGTTTCAAACATTGTGACATAATTATTATATTCTTGTGGAGTTCCTACATCTTTAGGATGATATTTCTAACTAATCAGTTACTAGTTCTTAACTAAGCAAACTGTTTCAGGTGGAAACAACAAGGAATGAAGAAGAGTTTTGAGAGTATAGTGTTTGTTTGTTTGTTTGTTTGGTTGGTTTTTTGGGGGGAGGGGGTTCTACAAGTGTAAGTTAATGAGAAAATGACAATGATGGAAGGAGACAATGATTCTGCCTCAACATAACTAATGTTCTCAATTGTATGCAATGATAAACAAGATGCAAATAATAAAGAAGCGTTTAAATGAATATGGACTTGGCTTTTGACCCCTGATGAAGAGTACACTTCTACCTGTTCCCATGTCATACAGGACTGGTACATGAGGCTGCTGGATGGTAATGGGAAACACGGCTTCATAGTTTTCAAACTGGAAAGTGACTGAACACAAAAATAACATTTGTTTAGGTTCAGAACAAGCGGGACTCTTGTTTAAAGAAAAATAACAAAGAAGCAATTCAGGACTTATTCTTTCAGTTATTTTAAATATAACATACAGGACTCATACATTAATGCTAATGTAAAATGCACATGACATTTTGCAAATTCAATTGTCATTTAAAAATGGGGGTTATAGCTCTTCACATTTTTGACACATACCAAGGTCTCCAGTGTTTATATGGTAGATGGTGCTGGTATAGGACACTTTGGCCAGCAGGTCATTGAGGACCAACAAGGTGCTAGACTCAATAGTCAGTTTTGTCTCTCCAGAACCTGTGAATTCAAACCAAACAACTTTACATTAGCTTTAAAATGAAGTTTAATTCGTTATGGCTAAGTGCCAATAGATGTGACAAATTTACTTTATGTATATTCACAGTAATATAATACTGCTGGTAATTTCTCAGAAAGGACTTATAATATAACAGGAGTAGTCTTTAATTCAGAGTAATTTATTCTGAATAATTACGAAAGTGGTTTTCCTAATTAAATTATTCACCCATCCATTCTCTTGTGCTTATCCTTATTGGGAGGTCAGGATGGGTCGCCACTCCGTCGCAGGCCTAACACATACATACAGACAACTATTGGCACTCACATTCACAGGCAGTTTAGAATCACCAGTTAACCTAACCTCATTAACTGCATGTGTTTGGATTCTGGGAGGAAGCCAGAGTATACAAGAGAACCAGTGAAAACACAGAGAGAACATGCAAACTCCACACAAAAATACAGTAGGTGGAGATGAATTTAGGACCTTCTTGCTGTGATGCAACAGTGTTAAGTACCATGCTTCCGTGCTGCCCAGCCAAAATACATTAGTTACTGATAATTGACAACGAGAATATGAAGTCCTGAACTTTACTAAATAAGATTCATGTAAAACCACCAATACTACACTGATTGAGGAGACACAATGTCCGAAATTGTATGGAGCTATGGAGGCAAGTTAAAGGGAAAACCATTATAACTTAAAGGGTGTAAAAAAAAAAAAAAAAAAAAAAAGTTTTGCAGGGTAGGATTTTTTTAAAAGGTGTCAAGATGCCTTGTAAGAAAAAGAATACATGTATATGTCTTTGTCTTCTAACTTTTATCAGTCTTTTGAGATTACAATTTTTATTTTACACAGATGTTATGGAAAAAAAAATTAAAAATGATCTAAAAAAAAAAGTAATATTGGCTAGCTTAATGTGTTACTGACAGGACTCACTCAAGTTAATCTGATCTTTGTGTTTAGTCAAGACTCTTGCCCATGCAAAAGATCACTCGTGTTTTGTGTTTGTTCAAGTCGAATTAGTCACTTGCCACAGTTTAAATTATTTGTAAATATCTCCTGATTGAATTAATTTTTTAACTGATTATTCTGCTTTGTTTTGCCTGGGTCACGCACTTGAGTCATGTTTCAGGCTGGGTATCGTCACTGATATCTAGAATTGATTAGATTCCAATTCACAAGGTCCTGAATAGTTTCGATCCACAATTTGATTCGATTCGATTTTAATCGGTGAAATTTTGCCTCAGTCAGAAATATTATAATTTCAGTACATTTCCATATTTTTATATCTATAAAAAGAAAGCTGACACTTGCAAGACTTAATCAAAGGTGTAAGCATCACAGCAGATGCCTTTGTGTCAAAAACACAGAAAAAGATGAAGGCGATCTTCCTGTCCTGGGATTTTATAGCAGATAACCTTAAAAATATTCTGCAATAGATCAAAAACGAAAGAAAGTCATTAACATTTGAACATTACCTGATTCTGCTGAACTGAAGCAGAGCAAAGTTACAGAGGTTTTGTTAGTGACACAGCTAAGCGTTTTGCAATTTTGCATAATTTTAAAAAGTAAAAATTTCTTCAGTAGCTTGCTGAATAGCATAAATGACGTTTTCTTTTCGGAAGTAAGTAAAAGAAAAAAACTGTGGCCGACAGCGCTGTAAACAACGGTAGAAGCAGTAGTGGTTTTTGATACGGGCGACACGGGCGGTTGCCCAGGGCGGCATCGTGGGCATCGGCAAAAAATAAAATTGTTCGTACTCATGCTGCCCTGACGTCAGCCAGCACATACTGAAGATGGCATAGGCACCGATCGGTTTTCTATCGCACATTTGCTGGGAGTAAGGGCGCCCTCCGTTTGCGAGGTGCGCCTGCTGCTTGCAACACAGGGAGGAGAGGGCGGGGCTGCGGGGGATTCTCTGGCTGGCTGGAGCAGCATTTAATAACCAACTCGCAAAATAAAACAAAATAAAAACAAAACAACAAACAAGAAAACACCAGACATTATAATACAGACTTATAATTTGAAACGATGTTTTTTCGAAATTATATACGCGAAAAGTGAGCGTGAGAGGCCCTCTGTGCACCTGCTCGCTGCTGAAGTCAAAGTAAACTTTATTGTCATCTTCGCTACATACAGTCCAGTATATAGAGAGACGAGATGACGAGGCTCCAGTTACAGCAGTGCAAGTAAACAAACAATAATTATAAGAAGAGTAAGAAAATCAATATACACTTTAGGACTCTGAGTAAAGGGATCAATAACAATTTAAAATTTATAATTTACAGTTTGATGATTTAAAGTGTCACACACAACCCAACCCACACAACATCGAAAGGAGCGGGCTGCTTCCAAATAGAGCACATTTCATTCATAATGTTGTAAATCAAAGCCTATTCCCAGAAATACACCTTAGACAAAGTGAATTTGTGAACTAAGATGTAGGTCTATTAGGTTAAGTTGTGGCGATCCTCGAGTTGTGTTCATACTGGAGTGCAAAATTAAAACCAGGAAGATGGACAAGAAAAGTTCAAAGCCATCAGGTGCTCAGTTTAGAAAAAAAAATAGAAAAGACAAGGAGGAGAAACGAGCAAAAGATGCAGGTAAGCAGATGTGTGATTGGATAATGGCAGGTCATCCTGAAACAACCAGAATCAGAATACTTTATTAATCCCTAAGGAAATTATGTGTTTACAGTTGCTCCAAGAAGAAATTGTAAAAATAGTAACAGTAACAGACTAAACTCCAAACAATACATCATGTTACAGATTTTAATATTAATTAGTCAGTGTCAATTGTTGATTTGTCCTGTTCTCATTGTATGACGAATTATGATGGCTGTTTGGTAGCTGTTTGCATACAATGCATACTCTCTCTCTCTCTTCATGGCCCTTGCCCCCTGCATACCCTCACCAGGTCTGTCCAGAATTTTCTGCCACAACTGATCACCAGGTGGCGCAATTCCCAGCACTCCACCCAATTAACCCAAGAAGGCTGAGCACTCTGAAGTGTTATTTGGCACACAACATAGCTGGACTGGCCTTTGGGCATACCTGGCATTTGCCCAGTGGGCCGATGGTGATTTTTCATTTTTATTTTTGTTTGTTTGTTTGTTTTTGTAACAGTATAAACAATGATAGCTGGTGGATTGGCCAGATACTGGCCGATGTGTAAAAATAACTCAGTCGTTTGGTAGTGGTTTCTACGGCGGAGCTTTCACAGAGGCCAGCAAGTGAATGAGGAAAAGGGAGGGAGGAGGAGAGACCCGAGGCGGCTGCCCCGGTCTGAGTGTCAGGTGAACTAAACTGCAGGTAAGAAGTTATGACCTGCAGTCTATCTGGGTCAAATATAAACCAAGTTTAGGTGGAGTTTATTTTCGTTGTGCTGACTTTTTACCGCGAGTTACAATAACTCATACTGCGTGCTAGCTAGCATGATGGAGTTTCTATACAGCTGGGTGGGTGCTATGATGTTACTGATAGTGAACTTTATTTTATTCACAAGGTTAGTTATTAGAGTTGTCAATCGTCCCGTAATCAG